AGCCCCCATATAATGGTACCTCCCGATATTCGGTATTTTGATTTGATGATTTTAGCAACATTATTCACCAGAATTGTTTCAATTTTGGTACTTGAAGTTCGAAATAGATACCACAGCCTATAATAGAAAATTCTCTGTGCAAGTCCACGTCTTCGTATAGCCCCCATATAACAGTACCTTCCTATATTAGGTATTTTGATGATTTTAGCGACATTATTAACCAGAATTGTTTCAAATTTGGGATTTGAAGTTCGTAATAGACACTGCAGCATAAAACAGAATATGGGCCATGTAGGTCCACGTCTTCGTATAGCCCCCATATACCGTACCCCCCGATATTCTGTATTTTGATGATTTTAGCAACATTATTCACCGGAATTTTTTCAAATTTGGTATTTGAAGTTCGTAATGGATACTACAACCTAAGACAGAAAATTGTGTGTGCAGGTTCACGTGTTCATAAAGCCTCCATATAACGGTACACCTCGATATTCGGTATTTTGATGATTTCAGCGACATTATTCACCGGAATTGTTTCAAAATTGGTATTTGAACTTCGTAATGGATGCTACAGCCTATGACAGAAAATTGTCTATGCTGTTCCAGGTCTTCGTATAGCCCCCATATAACGGTACCTCCCTATAATAGGTATTTTGATGATTTTTACCGACATTATTTACCGGAATTGTTTCAAATTTGGTATTTGAAGTTCGAAATAGATACCACAACATATGACAGAAAATTGTCTGTGCAGGTCCACGTCTTCGTATAGCCCCCATATAACGGTACCTCCCTCTATAATCGGTATTTTGATGATTTTTACCGACATTATTTACCGGAATTGTTTCAAAATTGATATTTGAGGTACCAAGGGGATAGTAGAGCCTAAGACAAAAAATTCTCTGTGCAGGTCCACGTCTTCGTATAGCCCCCATATAAGAGTACCTCCCCATATTCGGTATTTTGACGAGTTTAGATACAATACCCACCGAAATTGTTTGAGATGTCGTATTTGAACTTCGTAATGGATGCTACAGCCTATGACAGAAAATTGTCTATGCTGGTCCAGGTCTTCGTATAGCCCCCATATAACGGTACCTCCCTATATACAATATTTTGATGATTTTAGCTACATTATTCACTGGAATTTTTTCAAAATTGGTATTTGAAGTTCGTAATGGATACTACAGCCTATGACAGAAAATTGTCTGTGCAGGTCCACGTCTTCGTATAACCCCCATATAACGGTATCTCCCGATATTCGGAATTTTTTAAGGATTTTATTTTTTGAAAATTTCCAAATTGGTTCCAAATGGTGGAGGGTATTCAAAGTTCGTCCCTGCTACTGCTTTTTAACTTGTTTTGTTTGTAATAAGTCATATCTGGTGTATTGTTACAACAATTCCCGCCAGATATAACTGTAACTTAATACTTCTAACAATCTCCATGCCATTTTGTTTCGGAGGCCAATTTTAGGAAAATAACACAATTATAATTACATTGAAAGAAAATTCATATAAGTGGCACAATATCATAAATATAGAACCCGCTCCGCAGATGTTGAAAGTCAAGGTAACTGTTGAGCCCCAAATACAACATTTTCCCTCCCCCTCGCCAAAGTCTTTACCTTGCGTACTACGCTTCGATCCACAATATTTATCCACAATGAAACGTTTATCGTAGCAATTTTGTTTTTGTTATATTGCAAATTATTTAAGTTAATATTAGCAATAATTGAAGCGGTATTTTTTGCCCTGTTGACAAACAAAATAAATAAATAATTGAGCGATACTAATGAGGTATATAAATAAGTGATGGGCTATGAAGAGGCAGCCCACCACCCCCAAGATGCAAACGTAATATAGATATTAGATACGAGAAGTGGGAGTATATCTTGTCAAATTGTCATAATGACCGATAATAATAGGGATAAAATGTGCACACACATGAACTTGATGTGATAATGCCATAAATGAAGATATCACGCGGAAATTGGTGTTTATAAATATTTTAAAATATTTTGTGATTCCTAGATCAAAGTATTTTTTAGGCCGACCTTCCCCAATTTATTGAAGACATTATAAGAAGATCGCACACAAAGAATACCTCGTGGTTTTCTATCGCAAATGGACGACTTCAAGGTCTTCAAATCAACAACCTTAAGGCTTTCAATTGAAAATAAAGAAACCAAAGGTTCTCTATAACAAATAAAATAACTCAAGGTCTGTTCAGGCAAATAGAACATTTCAAGATCCTTACATTAAGGTCTAAAGCCTGTGGAAGATCTCTGGGTTTTCTATAACAAATAGAAGACATCAAGTAATTATGCCCACGGCCATATGGCTGGAGAGGGTTTATATCGAGTGGGCGAGGATAAATTCCATCTACACTCTAGATCTTGTGTTCGCAAAAATATTGTCATGTGTGAAATTTGAAGATAAAAGGAGGTTTATTTAGCATTTTATGAGAGTTAAAACTATTTAAAAATTTTAACCTCTTTGTGAGGCAGGTACCAGAAGGGGTGGGCCGATACATTCAACGTCAACTTCACACCAGATCTTGTGTTGTAAGATATATTGGGATGTATGAAATTTCAAAAGAATCGGATGCTCATTTCGCGTTATATGTGAATTTGGTAATTCAAAAATTTTGACCCATTGTGGGGGAGGTACCAGAAGGCGTGGACCGATATAATCGAATTTCACCCCAGATCTTGTGTTAGTAAAAATATTTTTATGTATAAAATTTGAAGGTAAACGGATGCTTATTTCGCATTTTATGAGAGTTATAATTATTCCAAAAAATGTGGACCCGTTGTGGGGGAGGTACCATATTCACACCAAAGTTTGTGTTGGAAGAAATATTGGGAGGTGTCCTTATTTCGCATTTTATGAGAGTTATAATTATTCCAAAAAATGTGGACCCGTTGTGGGGGAGGTACCATATTCACACCAAAGTTTGTGTTGGAAGAAATATTGGGAGGTGTCCTTATTTCGAATTTTATGAGAGTTACAATTATTCAAAAATTGTTAATGGCTGGGGCACACAACAACTCTCGAATAGAGTATTTGATTAAATTAAAACGTGGTATATCGTAATATTATTAATAAACTTAGATCGAGTTCAGAGATGGTACACTACTTCTGGTACCTCCAAAAAAAAGTTCGAAATTTCCAAAAAAAAAAAATATTTTAGTGAACAGTATAGTATAATCCGATTTTGTTCCAACTTTGCAAATCTTAATATTTTCATCAATGCTTCGTCAGGTGCGAAAATGTTCAATATCGGTCCACTCCATCAGGTACCTCCTGCAAAGGGTCAAAATTTTGAATAATTACTAATTTTGAAATTGTCTTCAAATTCCACACATCCCTATATTAATATTAACCCAAGGTCTGGTGTAAAGACGGAATATACCGGTCCACTCCTTCTGGGACCTCTCCCACAAAAGGGTCATGGTAAAAATCTGCTTGGACTGACGCTTCAAACGCGGTATGTCATTAAGCGATGTGACATCTCTGTCAAAAGTTATGGCGTTGCCAGATGGGTCCGTCGAATATGGACAACCCTGTACCTCACCTACAAAGGGTCAAAATTTTGAATAAATATAACTCTTATAAAATGTGATTTAAGGCTCGATTATCTTCCAATTACACAGATCACAATATATTTGTTAACCCAAGATCTGATGTGAAAATGGAATATATCGGTCCACTCATTCTGATACTTCCCCCACAAGGGTCTGAATTCTGATTAACCTCCGATTCCATTCAGATCTGGTACATCTCAATATTCCTATCAACTCAAGATTTGTTATAAAAATGGTAGAGATCGGACCATTCCATCTGGTACCTCCCACTCAAAGGGTCAAAGTTTTGAATAACCAAAATGATCATAAAATCCGAAATAAGCACCCGGTGTTGTTTATATTTCACACTTCTTAACATCTTCGATAACACAAGATCTGCTATGAAGATGGTAGAGATCGCACCATTCCTTCTGGTACCTTCCCCACAAAGCGTCAATATTTTGAATAACCAAAATGACCAAAAAATGCGAAATAAGCATCCAGTTCTCTTAAAATTTGGCACATCCCATTATTTGCTGTGAAGAAGGAATATATCGACGTACTAACTTCCCCGCAAAAGGTTCAAGATTTTGAAATATGATATACCAAAACGTGGGCCTATATATACTATGTTCCGCCACCGGAACTAGAACTCATTACGAACTACAAATACCAATTTTTATACAAATCCGTCGAAAAATGTGGCAAAAATCATAAAAATACCGAATATCGGGAGGTACCGTTATATGGGGGCTATACCAAAACGTGGACCAATTTACTTCGTTTTCAATAACAACCATCCAAGACATAATACAAAATGTTCTGCTAAATTTGTAATCTATACTTCAAAAAAAATGGACTGTATCGTGATTTTAACAGACAGATAGGCGGACATCGTTAAATCGGCGTAGAATTTTATACTGATCATGAATATATTTATAGTTTATGGAGTCTACGACGGATATTGAGGGATATCACAAACGTAATGACAATGTTCATATACCCTCCTTTTCAAGGTGGAGGGGTATAAAAAATAATGATATTTTCTAAATTCCTGGACCTGTAACTGAAAATCCAAACCTCATTCCGGGACTTCAGTGCGACAACGTTTTACAACAAATTCCATAATGACACCACCAATAATTTGTCGCCACTATTTCCACATTTAACTATTTTGTATTGTAATTTCCTCCCACTCCTCTCTTTCTACTGAGCAAACTCTCTCTCTCTTTCCATTTCAAAATCATAACAAAAATTAAATTTAATTTATTTAATTTTATTTACAAAATCCATTCAAACGAACATCAATCATTGTTTACGCCGTAATGATGCTGATCGTTTGGCGTGTTGCTAATAGCCACAGAGAGTTCGTGTTGGAAATCGTTTGAAAATTTTAATAATATTTGTTTGTTTGTTTGTTCACTCATTACAGATCAATTGCTGCTTTCATCGTCTGACCGTCGCTTCAGCTCATCACCGTCCAAGAGTTTTGTGCGTGTCTCAGGGTGTTATTTTTTTTTTTGCATTCGATTGTTCGATTTGCATGGACTGCATTTCACAACATTGTTGTAAGCTGTTTCTCTTCGAGTAATTTATGAAATAAGCCAACATAGAAACGCAGCAACATGGAAAAGGAAAATGGCCAACATCAGTTGGAGGCATCAACATATGATCCGTAAGTACCAACATATATATCTTTAAAGATTTGAAGGGAAATAATGGAGATTTTTCTCTCCAACACTTAAAAAAAACAAAGCAAAGAGAAAACATCGAAGTTTTCTGAAGAAAATAAAAGACTTCAAAGTCTTCTAAAGAAAAGAAAAACTTCAAGGTATTCCATAGAAAAGAGAAGAGCTCTAGGTCTTCTATGACCCCATAGAAGAGCTCATAGATCTTCTATGGCTCCATAGAAGAGCTCATAGGTCTTCTATGGCTCCATAGAAGAGCTCATAGGTCTTCTATGGCTCCATAGAAGAGCTCATAGGTCTTCTATGGCCAATAGAACAGCTCATAGGTCTTCTATGGCCAATAGAAAAGCTCATAGGTCCTCTGTGGCCAATAGAAGAGCTCATAGGTCTTCTATGGCCAATAGAGGAATTCATAGGTCTTCTATGGCCAATAGAAGAGCTCATAGGTCTTTTAAAAGGGTCGATAGAAGACCCCAAGGTCTTCTATAGCGTATAGGAAACATCACGGCCTTCTCTAGCCTATAGGAGACCTCACGGTCTTCTATAGCGTATAGAAGACCTCAAGGTTTTCTATAGGATATAGGAGACCTCAAGGTCTTCTACAGGATATAGGAGACCTCAAGGTCTTCTATAGGATATAGGAGACCTCAAGGTCTTCTATAGGATATAGGAGACCTCAAGGTCTTCTATAGGATATAGGAGACCTCAAGGTCTTCTATGGTCAATAGAAAAGCTCATAGGTTTTCTGTGGCCAATAAAAGAGCTCATAGGTCTTCTGTGGCCAATAGAAGAGTTCATAGGTCTTCTATGGCCAATAGAGGAATTCATAGGTCTTCTATGGCCAATAGAAGAGCTCATAGGTCTTTTAAAAGGGTCGATAGAAGAGCTCAAGGTCTTCTATAGCGTATAGGAGAGCTCAAGGTCTTCTATAGGATATAGGAGACCTCAAGGTCTTCTATAGCCTATAGGAGACCTCAAGGTCTTCCATAGCATATAGGAGAGCTCAAGGTCTTCTATAGGATATAGGAGACCTCAAGGTCTTCTACAGGATATAGGAGACCTCAAGGTCTTCTATAGGATATAGGAAACCTCAAGGCCTTCTATAGCCTATAAGAGACCTCACGCTCTTCTATAGCGTATAGGAGACCTCACGGTCTTCTATAGCGTATAGGAGACCTCACGCTCTTCTATAGCGTATAGGAGACCTCACAGTCTTCTATAGCGTATAGGAGACCTAACGGTCTTCTATAGCGTATAGGAGACCTAACGGTCTTCTATAGCGTATAGGAGACCTAACGGTCTTCTATAGCGTATAGGAGACCTAACGGTCTTCTATAGCGTATAGGAGACCTAACGGTCTTCTACAGCGTATAGGAGACCTCAAGGTCTTCTATAGCATATAAGAGATCTCTAGGTCTTCTATAGCATATGGGAGACCTCTAGGTCTTCTATAGCATAGAGGAGACCTCTAGGTCTTCTATAGCATATAGGAGACCTCTAGGTCTTCTATAGCGTATAGGAGACCTCAAGGTCTTCTATAGCATATAGGAGACCTCAAGGTCTTCTATAGCATATAGGAGACCTCAAGGTCTTCTATAGCATATAGGAGACCTCAATGTCTTCTATAGCATATAGGAGACCTCAAGGTCTTCTATAGCATATAGGAGACCTCAAGGTCTTCTATAGCATATAGGAGACCTCAAGGTCTTCTATAGCATATAGGAGACCTCAAGGTCTTCTATAGCATATAGGAGACCTCAAGGTCTTCTATAGCATATAGGAGACCTCAAGGTCTTCTATAGCATATAGGAGACCTCAAGGTCTTCTATAGCATATAGGAGACCTCAAGGTCTTCTATAGCATATAGGAGACCTCAAGGTCTTCTATAGCATATAGGAGACCTCAAGGTCTTCTATAGCATATAGGAGACCTCAAGGTCTTCTATAGCATATAGGAGACCTCAAGGTCTTCTATAGCATATAGGAGACCTCAAGGTCTTCTATAGCGTATAGGAGACCTCAAGGTATTCTATAGCATATAGGAGACCTCACGGTCTTCTATAGCGTATAGGAGACCTCATGGTCTTCTATAGCACTATAGGAGACCTCATGGTCTTCTATAGCACAATAGGAGACCTCACGGTCTACTATAGCGTATAGGAGACCTTCTATAGCATATAGAGACTTCAAGGTCTTCTACAGCATATAGGAGACCCTCTATAGCATATAGGAAACCTCACGGTCTTCTTCAGCATATGGGAGACCTTAGAATCTTCTATAGCGAATAGAAGATCTCACGGTCGTTTATATGACATAGGAGACCTCAAGGTCTTCTATTGGCTCTAGAAGACCTGTGCGTCTCGTCCTATAAATAAATTTCAATATTTTATCACCGGTTGATATAATTTTTTTATTTGTTACGTTTTAGTTTTAGTTATTTGTTACGTGTAGTCCTTTATCACTTTTATTCGGATGTGGAAATATCTTATATCCTACCCACATCTAAAAATAATTGGATATACCAATTTAATAATTTACTTGATTAATTATTTCCCACGTGTTGCCTACTTGATTGGCCTGCACTTGCTTGTGGACATTCCCAAATTTATGACGTCCGCAGATTACCTTAAGTGGCATTAATTTGTTAAAAACGGCACATGTCAATAACAGCTCTGGACACTAAATTGGCTCGTGTTATTTTAATCAAACCACCTCCAAGCACTTGCTGCACGCACTTTCTCAACCGCCCACGTAAAAATTTCTCCCGGCTCAGAGGTTCTTTCCATTATGCGCTCATGATGACAGCGAAAAAAATCTGAATTCTATGTTAAATCTTTTTAAATTAGGTAATTGAATGTCAGTCATTAACTTGCCCGAGATAAACGATGTTGTGATGAGTTATCATAAATTTCCAAGTAGAGTAGGAGGTGTTTTTGGGGGGTGCGTGGAGAAAGGTAGTGATCATAAACGTGTTGTTTTTTGTGTTTGCAGATCTCTTATCACAGTTTGCCTTCAATGAAGGTAATATTTTATGTATTTGTTTTTTTGGAAGCAAAACGGAATTTTTTTCTTCGAATTTTTTTTTTCGAGATAATGGAAGAGTAGTAAACAAACAATTCAGATCTTAATTCCCCTTTCCTTAGATATCACGTGTAAAATATGCAAAATTTGTAGTAAAAAAATGGTTGTTGTTGTTGTTGGATAGTAATTCTGTTTATCTCCATGTAGCTGTTGAGGTAATCAAATGAGATGATTTTGTTTTCTGAGTAATTTTTGTTTTCCTAAAGCGATTTGTTTCCTAGTTCTTAATTGTCTGGATAATTGAACAAGAATGTGTTTCTTTGTTTGTAGCGTTTTTTGTTGTTGTAATTGTTGTTCTAGTAGCGGTAAGAGGCTTGGCCCACAAAAAACCATGTGAGGTAAATGTAAACCGGATTGAAGTCCAATGGAATGTTGGGCACAAAACAGCTGCAGGGAAAAAAATATCAAAGGTGGAATTTTTATAAACATTTCTGAAAAATAAACCTTTGTTCTTTAATTTATTATGGGGTATGCAAAATTCTTTTCTTCAGAGACTGATATTGAAATGCGATCAAGAATATTTCTTCCTTTGAGACTATCGCCAAATAATGAGGAATTAAGGGAGATTTTAACCTGGAATTGAAACGACTTAAATTTGCAAAAGAAAACGTATACACATAATTTTCACTTGTAATATCCAAATTTCGGATTTAATTTTCTTAAAAACTATTTAACTTAGATATATGCTTTATTTTGAAACTTGTAGTGACATTTTGTGTAGAATATTTCTTCTTTTGACACTTTTTGCCTAAAACGAAATTTTATGTTACTTTCAGGCCTCAACTCGAAAAAAGGTCGGGGAAAATTGTTCAAAAAATTAGGGAGTATTTTTACGATTTTTTGGGCAACATTAATGACAATATTTTCTTGGTATACTTATGGTGAAATTCTTCCTTTAGTGACTTATGGTGAAATTTCATGGGAAATATTTTTGTCTTTGGTCCCACCCTTCTAAATTAGTGTTTTGTAATAGAATTTAACATTAATTCACATTAGGTGCAAAATTTGTCGAAAATACAATTTTTTTTGTAAACCAAAATTGATTTTTGTATGATACATATTTATATAATGCATAAGTATACAAATTTCTTTTGTTAAGAGACAGTTATTGAGATATGATCCACAATAATTCTTCCTTTGAAACTACCGTCACAAAATGAAGTCCAAATGGAAATTTTTGACTTGCAATGGAAACGTGTAAAATTTGCAGTAGAGAACGTATACACATTATTTTCACTTGTAATAACCGAATTTCAAATTTAATTTTTCTTAAAGGCTATTTAACTTAGTTTATTTTGAAACTTATAGTGAAATTTGGTGTAGAATATTTCTTCTTTTAACACTTTTTGACTAAAACGAAATTTTATGATACTTTCATGAACCAAATCGAAAAAAGGCCAAGGAAAAATTGATTGAAAATTAGGAAATATTTTTGCGATTTCTTGTACAACATTGATGCATATATCTTCTTGATATAAAGTGAAGATAGAGATTCATTTTCTTTGGTAAAATTTCATGCGGAATATTTTTGTCTTTGGTGCCATCCTTCTAAATTAATGTTTTGTAATAGAATTTATGGTAAATTCACATTAATTGCTAAATTTGTCAGAAATAAATACAAGTTTTTTCTTGAAAATCGTTTTCTTTATGGTACAATTTTTTATGGCACATATAAGTTATACAAATTTCTTTTGTTCAGAGACTGATATTGAAATGTGATTTGTAATATTTCTTCCTTTGAAAAATTCCCAAAATATGAAGTATAAATGGAAATTTTTGCCTTGGAATGGAATCGTGTTAAAATCGTAGTAAGCAAAGTAAACACATAATTTTTACTTCCAATATCCAAAAATTTCGAATTTAATTTTCCTAAAAACTGTTTGACTTTGAAACTAGTTTATTTTGAA